TTATCTATTATTTATTAACTATAATATCTCCTAAGTTAGGTTTTTTAGAAACACTTTGTGTAATAATTATATGTTTATATTACAGATGTCCCAAAACTTAAATAGCTAACACTTATAATACAGAGCTCCAATTTTTTGTGTAACATATCAGAATAGGTTCTATGCGCATCCCCTGATTCTTCTAAGTTTAATAGATTTTTTTCATTTAATTAATAATGTGCTTTCAATTTTTTTTGTATTGAATATTTGATCTGTTTTTAATCTAACTCTAACTATTTAATATTAAGCTTCAGAATTGTATTTTATATGCTTTTGCCTCGCTTGTTTATTAGGTTAGGTTATGTGGGTTGCACGCTAGTTAGGGAGTTCAATCGGAGGCCTTGTGGCCCATTGTGTTATCCTTAGAATAGCATCTACAGTAGCTATAACGTGCGTAGCCCATACGTTCCGACATATTACCAATCATATAGTCCCAGTAAGTAAACCAGTTAGAAGCCTAATCGAGTTCTTACCTAGTACTATCCATTGTCAGAGTGGGACAGAGCCTCCATATTCTAGAAGTGATGATATTTGACCACCTAAGTACCGTCTCACACAAAGCCCAGTCATCTATCAATTTAGATAGGGTCACCAGGGGAGTGTGAATATCCCTTTGCGCAAGGGTTAAGTCTAGAGACGACCCTTTGCGTATTCATCAGATATTTCATTTCCCCGGATGCCCTCATGTCCTGGAACCCATAACAACTCAACGTGGTGTTGTGTCAGTTGTGCCAATGATTGAATACACTTGAGAAGACATTTCGACTTAATAACATTGGAATTAAGAGCCTAGATTGATGCTAGGCTGTCCAGGTATATATGTATAGTCGAATTTTCATGATTTAGTTCCCGGATGGTCCTCGTGGCTGTATCGATGGTATATATATCTACCTGAAGGACCATGCAGGTGTCAGGTAGTCGAAGAGTCAGTAGAAGATTCAGTTTTTCGGAGAAGATTCCCGATTCCGTGACCATTTATGTCTTTAAGCCATCAGTATAGATTGAGATTATGTCTTCCCTTAGGACAGTGTTCGCGGCCCAATCATCCTTTGTCAGTATTCTTTTGAATGACCTATTAAAATTCAATGTAGATAGTATGTAGTCCGTAGCCTATCTTTGGTAGGATGGTGCCATGACCAATGCGATCATGCGTGAGTCAGTTTAAGTCGCGGTGAAGATTTAGCAGAAATGCATTTGATATATTTATTTAGCATCGTCTCTAGACTAGCCTGAAGACATGATAATCTTTGTATCTTGTTTAGAAGAGAAAGGTGGGTCTTGGTATCCATCTCTCTCCACCAAACAAGAGCTCCGTAGATCAAAATAGGTCTTATGACCGCGGTGTACATCCAGTGTACAATGTATGGTTAAAGACCCCATATTTTCCCAAAGGTATATATAGAAGGCACATAGTGCCTTCTTCATTCGACTCTCAGCATTACGTTTCCATGTGAGCTTAGAGTGAGAAAGGTTTACCGATTCTCATAAAATTTGATAGTAAGATTTTTGTTCCAATAGAACTTGATTATGACGAAATTCGTTACATTTATACTACATATTTATAAACAATATCATTTCCAAAGGGGGCCATGGGTACCTGGGTAAAAATTAGCCGATTTTAAAATTTTTAAACATCAATAGAAATTCTATCTCTTGTAATATAACTCTTCAGAAATTTCTTTCGATAATTTTTAAGGATAATAATTTCAAATTTATGCTATAATTAAAATATTTCGAAAAAATTAATTTTAGTAGGCCGAATTTATTGAACTATTGTGAAATAATTTTATTTCACACTTTAATATTGAAAAAATATAAGAATTTGTACAAGTATGAGTGCACTTAAAGATTTGACATTTTTGTGTTAATACTCGGTCAATACGTACGTTTTTACTTGAATTTAACATTCAATTGGCCAATAATTTTAATATAATTAAAATTTGTTATATAGTTATACATCAAGTGATAAGAGACTAAATCATAAAGCAAATCAAAAAAAAAAAAAGTATTTAGAATTTTGATCGAAGGAAAAACCATATACACACGTTTCAGTTTATATTATCAATTGCATTGATATGACTAATGACAAACAATGTAAATCACCAATCAATTTTATGACCAAAATATGAACTTTTATTTAGGTTGCAGTGAACGAGTATTTCTGACGTTTTATCCATTTGAATTTCAAACGGAAATGCTGTGTATATCTGACACTTATCACGTTGTTCTGTTTATTTTTCTTAATAAATAGTAAATTAATTTGTCAAACTTTTTCAATTATTTAGTAAAGATAAGTACCTATATAACTATAATTTGTTATAAATAATATACGTTAGTTTATGTGAAATATAAAAAATCTATGTATGTATATGAGAAAATGCAAGAAGATCGTATAAGGAGGATTCGGCCCATTAACATCTCAAAATTTTTAAATATTAGAAAATCTATCTAAAACTCTTTAAATTCATTAATTCCGCCTAGTTGTGTATGAATTAACAATTTGTTATATGGTCAATTTCGTGTCAAGTGATCAAACTTTTAAAATGGATGTCTTCCGATTTCGATGAAATTTGCACCACACATTTGAATAAATCCCTGTATTACCAAAATGTTCAACTTTGACCACCTCTAAGTCCGGCAGTTCTTGACTCTGGCCTACTATCCGATAATACTAACCTTGGTGCAAATTACATCCAAATCGATTTTTTAAGTTGGGCCACTTGACATGAAATTGCCCATATATAAACATATGTATTAAGTTTTTTTTTTAATTTCTGCCATTAATAGATTTTTATCTGTTATCTTATAATAAGTATAAATGACTTGCCGATTTTTATTAGTCATTACTTTTATAACGAACAAAGTTCAACATTATTAAATATAAAGTGGCCTAACACGATCGTTAATATTTCTGTGTAGGGTAGAAGGGGGACCATACGCCACTTTTTTATTTTTTTGAGGCGGCCTCAAATTAAAACCACAATACATATTCTTAATTTTTTTCTTGGTTCGGATACTTAGATATGTTGGCTTTAGTTTTATCCCTTTCAATCTTTCCTAAGTCATCCTCATACACATATTTTTTTAACTTTTCCGCACTGACCAAAAACGGCGATACCGCCCCATCCATGGGGTAAATACGCCAAGGGGATGGGGCAGATTTGTCATTAGTAAAATAAGCCAAAAAAATTAAAAAGTAAAAACTTATTTTGCTGTTTTATATTTTAATTCACTAAACAAAGTATAATAAACTAGATATTTATTGTTTATTTCACATAACTAAACAAAAAAAAATTAAAACAAATTATTAATGATTTTTTCTATATTTTAACAAAATTTTGTTCTACATCACAAGCATTACATATATTTGGCGAATGTGCCCCACGGGCAGTTCTGGGGTTTAGTTTATATTTTTCGGGTTTCAAATTATATTATCGAAAATATTATTATGTTTCATTATTCACTATTATTGTCGTTCTATCACTGACCAATATATTTTTTCTATCACAAAAACTAAAAAAGTAAGCACAAAAAATTCACACAGTGAAATATTTTCAGCACTTTGAAAAACAATTAATCACGTCTGCCTCCCATCATATCTAAAGTTAATCTTTCAAACTTTCAGGGATGATAGATAATCGATAAACAAAAATAAAATTTGATAATGCGACAAAATCGATTACTCGGTTTTCAAGTTATTCGCTTTGGCAGATGTGCCCCTATGGCGCATGATCCCCCTTCTACCCTATTTGGCAGCTATGGCGTCGATCATGGCAAATGTTTTGGAGTTTTCTTTTCTGGTGCCTTTATTCTTTCTACCTTTTGCCCTTCTTTATGTAATTTTTAACTTTGTAAACGCATAACATGATCTTTCCAGATAATGTTGTCAAGAAATTTACTGATATATTTATATTCCGTGGTGACGGTCGTTACATTTATACGAATTTGAACTCTTTATAATTCCGAAATGAGAACAACAATTAATACATTTGGAGAATATTCCAAATAGAAATGACGTTCTTTAAAAGATAACCAAAAACCGTAGTAAAAAAAAACCTCGACAATTGCCGCACCGATTAAACCTAATCGAATTTGGACAACATTTTGTGCCAATACATATGAATCTTACAAAGTTAAAAAGTTGGGTAGAAATTATGTTGTACTTTAACGTTAAATATCATTCAATTATTTTTATGGTAAGAACCATCGCATAGCAGCCAAACTTTGGAAATGAAATATAAAAAGAATGAGATCAATACCCCTCATATTTTGCCGTTTTTCGATTTGAAATTAAATTAAAAGCAATTTTCGGCCATCATTTAGTCAAAATACTATTTTTACAAAATGTTGCTTAATTTTGATCAAGTAAATTGGTATTATTACTTTGAGTCCATCGAAAGTTATTGCTAATCATTTTCTAAAATCGAGAATCGTTAACCCTCCAAAACCGTGGTTTCATCAAAATCCACCAATAAGTAAAAATCATATCAACTTTTAAAATCGATGTCTTTTGATTTAAAATTGCCCATATTGCTCTTATTTATTCAAGAAAGAAGTATTTTCGATCTACCCAAATGAACGTTATATTTTGCAGCAAAATCTTGGGGGGAAATTTTAATAACTGGAATTGTTTTTGTACTTTTTATCTTTTTAGAAAGGCTTTTTTGTATAGATTACGATTCCATCACAAAAAACTTCATTCATTATACTATCTATTTATCCACTTAAAAGCGCACCCAAACTTAGTGGTCGATGCGCAGGGTCTTCCTCTAAATTATTTAAATTATTATTAAATTATTTATTTAAAAATAGTTTAATTGAGGTAATAGGACAACATAATTTTATAATAAGAACTAACCTAATGAAATATACATATTTCATTAGGTTATATACATATATTGACTAAAAATGTTTGCAGTATATAATTCGAAAAAAAAACTAAAAGGAACACCCTAACATTCTATGTTAATACATATTTATGTTTGTGTGTATATTTTTTCATTTAACTTTTAATTATGCAACAAATACTTATGTGTAGGTAGATTATTTAAATGCAATAAAATGCAATAATTACATTTATCACAAAAATAAAAATATGAGAACTTATAATATTAGAACCATTGTTATCAGGCTTATCACCAGATCCTCCACTTCCTGAACCATTATCACCATCTCCAGATCCATCACCAGACCCTCCATCACCTGATCCACTTCCCCCATTACCATCATCAGATCCTCCACTACCCGATCCACCATCTCCTGTGTTTCCTCCATCTGAGCCACTACCCGATCCACCATCTCCTGGATTTCCTCCATCTGAACCGCTACCGGATCCACCATCTTCTGATCCGCCACCACCTGAACCATTTCCGGAACCACCATCACCCGAACCACCTGAGCCACTGTCATCAATTAGTAGTTCACTGTCATTACAACCACTCAATTGACTGGGTTGACAGATCATACAATCCGTACTGGATAAACATGATTTTTGTTCTTCTAAAGTTTTAGCGCAGCCCCGAATCACATGATTGCCTTCTTGTTTAACAAAGCAATATTCATTAGGCGTCCGAGAAATTACACATCTCGAGGGCAACAAACTTTTAGGATTTATACGACAATTTTCGTCCTACAAAAAAGGATATTTGTTTAATTTATATATTTATCATAAAATCCGTTAGAATTCTGTTCTTACAGTCTCAGAATCACATTGAATACATTCAAATGATTTCGAAGCCAAATTGTTGCACAAGTTTTCGTTGCACTTAAAGCAATCATTTGAATCATTCAAATTTTGCGCATCACATTTATGGCGCAAATCTTCCGAAAGTTGCTCGAGGCAACCTTGAGCCAATATTGTTTCTAGATAAAAATTAACAGTTATTTATTATTGCTTTGATTTTAAACATAATTTTATTTTACTTACCGCCATCAAATACATTTACACAGATATCCAAATCATTAAGACATTTTTGTGTTGACTCATAGGTGGTGCGTAAACAATTTATACCATTACATTGGTGACATGTACGCCCACTTACAGAGCCATTATCTCCATTATTTCCTCCATCTGGGCCATTATCAGAACCCTCATCACCTGAACTTGCATCATCTTTTATTACCTCTTCGTCGTTACAATTACTCAATTCACTAGGTTGACAAATCATACAATCGGCACTAGATAAACATGACTTTTGTTCTTCCAATGTATTAGAACAGCCTCGAGTCACTCGATTTCCCTGACGTTTAACAAAACAATATTCATTTGGGGTTCGTGAAATACCACATCTTGATGGCAATAAACTATTTGGGTTGGTGCGGCAATTTTCATCCTACAAAGAATTGATTTTTTTTATTTTTATTAAAGAAACATTAATTTTGAATTTATTCATACATTATTAGAATCACATTGAATACACTCAAATGAACTTGATGCCAAATTATTGCACAAATTTTCGTTACATTTAAAACATTCATTAGATTCCTTAGAGTCTTGAAACTGTGCCTCACTACCACATTTATTGCGCAATTCTTCGGAAAGTTGTTCCAGGCAACCTTGAGCCAGTATAGTTTCTGTAAAGAAAACCCAAAGTTATTTCCATTATTGTGAGTATTTTTTTAAATTTAAACCACTTCATTTCACTCACGTCCATCAAATACGGTTACACAGATATCCAAATCGCTAAGACATTTTTGTGTGGCCTCATAAGTAGTGCGTAGACAATTAATACCATGACATTGATGACATATTCGCTCAGCCGCTACACAGCTGACATGTACATGAAGCAATAGCAGGATCACAAAAATGAGTTTATTGCACGAAATACAAGGTGCTGTTGTATTGTTACTGATTTGACGAACCGACAACTGCATTTTATGGCCTCTCGAATTGTAATAATGATAATTTCAATTCAAATTTTACTATTATTGTGCATGTAGTGTGTGTGTGTGTGGATGGATACCATTTGATCAATAGAATTTTCCATAGTTTACTTTTCAAGTAGGCAATTTGGAAATCTACTTGTACTGTAATCATTCAAATATTGACTTTACTCTATAAATAATACAACATATTGGTTTTGTATGATTGAGTAATTATTAAGTGCTTCCTTTCGCTACTTTAGAAATAGGGGTATTTTATTATAAACGAACTTGTTGAATACTTTTAATCCTTCATTTAGTTCATTTCGTAATTTATATATAAAAACTATAGACTAGATACAACTGATATGTATCTTACAAAACAATATTGATTCTTAAAAAATGATTGATTGATCTTTATCCAAACTTTCTTTTAAAATAACTTAAATTAATAACTTTTTTTATAAACGCAGGGTATTTCAAATTCATTCAAAACTTATTGTATTCCTGAGTATGTTTATTATTTGTTTCATACTCTGTTATTGTTTATAATTTATTTTAATTGTTTGATTTTATGACTTAGTTCTAGTAATCACCCATAATGGTTTTGTTTACAATTAAAATTTCACGAGTGCTTGTGTTATAAACAAAAATGATAAAATATTTCCCTACCGAATATTTAATCATAATAGGTTTCTTATTTTAGATTTTTTTATTGCAAATTTTATCTTTATCGATCGATTAATGACGAGATTAGAAGCGCCAGGCACATTTGATTATATGACAATTGATTTATTTACATTTCATAAGATATTTTATTTCCTGGTAAACGTGTTTAAAATAAAGTATTTTAAACTTTAATCTGTTTGATTTAAAATAACTATTTTCTTTTTTCGAGAAACATATGTACATACATGTGTTAAAAATATATATGCATATCCAAATATAGAGGTGCTTTACGCAAAATACTTACTCCACTTTCGTAATTACCATCTTTAGATTTTTTTTCACTTTCAGATTTTCCCCATTAGCTGATAGGGTTCGCCTCAAAAATAATTTTATCGTTCATAATCATAATATAATTTTTTAATATAGACATGCTTTCCTACTCTTTTTGATTTTAACCTGAATTTTTCCATTACACCTGACTTGAATATAGTCAGTTAAAGTAAGATGAACGTTCAAATTGATTTCTCTCCCGAGACAAATTAATTCAAGGGAAATAAATTTTTCAATTTATCTTGAATATTTCATTTTGGAGATTTTCAAAAAATCACATATACAATTTTTGCTTATATTCTATCATATTTTAAAGAATCCTTGAAGAAATTACAACCAGACAAGCATAAGCTTTTCTGTGGTCTTGTCTATTAACTAGACTAGGACTACTCTGAGAATTAGTCTTTGGACTATTAGTTGCATGGACTATTCTATAGACTAGACAACGCACTAATCTAATGTCTAATATATAGATTAGTCTATTGTCTAATTTTTAGACTACTCTATTTTAAAGCAATTTTAACTAGACGCTTAAAGTATTTTTAGGGACTATTATATGAATTAGTCTCTATAGTTACTAATAAGTATAAAACTAATCTATATACAAGTTTATAGAATAGTCTGTCTGGTTTATAGAATATACCATTGCCTAGTCAATGAACTAGTACATTGACTAATGGACTTGCTTATTGATACGTACTTATATTGATTACATTACTGACTGAAGAAATCGAAGAAGATATAAATTTGGAAAAGTATACAGTGTCTCTCATAATTATTCGAATTTGGGTAAACTATAAAAAGAAACCAAATTTAATAATATATTTTGTGTGCAAAATAAATAAATTAATTTGTTATATTGTATAGATAGTCCTTATGTTTGATATCACGCTTTTTAAAACTTGAAAAATTTGCATTGATTTAAATTAATTGTGCTTTTTTAAAAAAAGTCCATGAAATTGCCTCACAAAAGTATACGAATTTTTCCTGTATTTCATATTTGATCATATTATACGCAACACAAATTTTAGAATCGAATGGTTTTTATGCGTAATATTGTTTTAAGGGGTTACTATCCACGGAAAGGATATATTTTTGGCCCATTTGGTCCACAATTTTGCGGAATTTGTACCCTCTTTTCATGTATTATCATTAAAATGGCGATTTTTGGCCATAATTGTAAATTTTTCTCCTTTTTTCCAGAGATAAAACAAAAATTTGATATTGGGACTTAAAAGACCCTTTGGGGTATCTAAAAATAATATCTTTTGTTACAAGAATCTGTATTTAAACGTTCCAAGATAAATTATTCGGATCATTCTTCTTTCGCTAATTCAATATATTGGAACTTAGTCCATTTTTATAATACTAGGATAAACTATTTTCGGGGAAAGTTTTCTGGTATATATTCTTTTAGATATCAGCTTTTATACATTTTAAGTTTTCAATGTGTTGTGGAAGTGTACAACTCCAAAACATGCCTCGAAGAAACACCATTCAAAATAGTAAAATCATTATTTTTATATACCAATGGCCTCCATGCTGCATAGCACGATATCATTATGATTACATCAAAAATGTTGATATGTGTTTAAATATTATTTACTATGATCAAATTAAAACCAAAATTTAGGACTTACAGTGTTATTGTAACGGGCAACATAAGCGTGAAAGTTACGAATAGTAAAAACTGAAATCTACTATATAGGATGACGTTTTGTTAAGGCATGTTTTGGGGTTGTATACCGCTATAATATATTGAAAATTTAAAATACATTAGTGCCAATATGTACATGAATATACACTAGACAACTTTGTCGAAAAATATCGTCCCTAGAGGTACGAAAAGGGACTTATGATCCAGATAATTCAATTAGAAACTGAAAAACGATACCAAAAACACATCTTGGAACGTTTAAGTACAGATCCTTATAACAAAAAATATTATTTTTAGATACCCTATGGGTTCTATTAAATTCCAATATTAAATTTTGGTTTTATTTCTGGAAAAAGGGTGAAAACATTACAAATATAGCCAAAAATCGCCATTTTAATGATATTACATGAAAAGAGGGTACAAATCCCCCAAAATTGTGGACCAAATGGGTCAAAAATATATCCATGCGGTTGATAGTAACATATTAAGCATAAAACCATGCGATTCTAAAATTTGTGTATCGTATAATATGATCAAATATGAAATACAGGAAAAATTCGCATACTTTTGTGAAGTAGTTTCATGGACTTTTTTTAAAAAAGCACAACTAATTTAAGTAAATGTAAAGTTTCCAATTTTTAAGGGGCGTGATATCAAAACTAAGGACTATCTAGACAATATAACAAATTAATTTATTTATTTTCCACACAAAATATATTATTAAATTTGGTTTCTTTTCATAGTTTACACAAATTCGAATACTTATGAGAGACACTGTATATTATAACGAGAGAAATGAAAAAAAATATTTACGTTCTGTTCGTTTTGATTTTTTTCGTGAACGAAATTAAAATAACAATATACATATGTAGATATCTCTCATGAAGCGAACATAAACAACTACGATTTAGAATAAAAATAGTTTTCGCGAGTTTAAAAAAAAAGTCTCATAAAAATTTGTTTTATAACGAAACAAATAAATAAAATTGTATTCAATATGCAGTGAATAATATTCTTACTCAGCGTTGCCAATTTAGCGCTTATGGCGCTAGATTTAGCGCCTTTTAACAACACAAAAGACGCATTTTTTACTTTAGCGCTTTTTTGGAAAAAGGAAGATAAATCTGTGTTCTCTTTAAATTTTCATTCTCTTCGAAGGGAAAATTGATTTCGTGAACTGAATTGATTATAAAATTATATAAAAAATTCAAAATGTTGATTCATAAAAGTTTTCTGTTTTTTTTTTGATAATTTCACTGCGAAGGAAACAATTCCTTGACGACTTATTTTTTTACAAAGTTTTGCCTCTTGGTATTTTTGGAAATAAAGGGTTTAAATGCATATTTATTATGGGAAATTTTGCAAAAATCGCTTTGACTAGTTATTGAGATCTTGAGATGGTAGGAAGAGTCATTGAATAAGAAAATCGAACATACATATTTGTATTAACCTTAATTAATGGCATGCTTTGGATTTTTTTTTAAATTTCGTTCCCGAATCAAAATTCCAAATATCGAGCAATTTTTAATAAAAAATAATAGGTAAATCTATATATATATATATATATATATATATATATATATATATATATATATATATATATATATATATATATATATATATATATATATATATATATATATATATAAGAGTCGCGTTACTGACTGACTGATTCATCATCGCACAGACCAAACGGCTGAACATAGAGTCAGGAAATTTTAACAGTGTTGTGTTTTTGGTGTTGTAGATCCACTAAGGAGGGATTTTTGGAAACGGTTTTCTTACTTATCTTACATAATATTAGTGATACAAAAAATGCACCTGTATCTACTCTTAAAATGAGCAGATGGGTGTCTGGTACTTTTTTGAAATTCGTACTTTTAAGTGGTAAAAATGAGTAACAAAGGTGATTTTGGTACCTTTTTTGGTACTTTATAACTTTTTAACTAATAAACATAATCAAAATTTTTTAAATGTTTTGGACATATCTTCCAAAATTTCGTACTTTTTTAAAAAGGAGTCCTTTTTGGGTACTTTTTTAGCACATTAAAAAAACTTTTTCGATTTATTGACGTATACCTATTAAATTACGGACTAACTCTGTAATATTTATGAAAATAAAATAGTTTCTATTTCATTGGGAAGAAAAAAGTACCAAAAATGGGAATACGGGAAATATAATTTTTTCAAACTCATTGAGCCAATTTTTATAAAATTTGAAAAAATATTTAATTTACTCACACAAAATAAACTATTGGTATATTATTTTGAAATTCGGGAACTAGGGCCTATATAGGACCAAATTTTTCGGGGAAAAAGGGTAAATTTAAACTTTTTTTATAATATTGAACATGCAAAATTCTGACTGAATAAGAATCCGCACAAGAATCAAACGTTTTAAAGTTTCTACAGTGGGGATCTGAAACAAATGACACACGGTTCTTATAAAATGAGAATTTATAAAAGGGAGATTTTTAGTACTTAGTACTTAACTATAAAAGTAATAAAAATTTTATACGTAAATCCCTCTGGTGTTCATATATATCATAAATAAACTTTAAACTTCAGTTAAATAGAAAATATATAAAATATAAAGAACTATTTATGAAACACCATTTCTAGCAGATGTGATTCCATGAACATTAGTATTGATGTATGTACGTGGTTACAGCGTAAAATTTAAAGTCGATTCGATATATAAAACTCGCAAACTAGCAAATTAAATTTATATCTGCTACACTATATTTCCATTCTTATAGTTCATGTTAATTTAAAGTACAGCAATATAAATTGCATACTTCATTTAAATATTTAAATTATATACCATTAAGTTATTTATGAATGGAAAATACCTGGTAACAGTTTTTTCTTAAATATGTATAAATGACATTTTGTATATATTTGGGAATAACGATTATATTTCGAAATTTTTAAGTACATACACGCAATACATTTGCGATTAACGATCAAGTACAAGTATTTAGATAGATAAATATTTTACAATTCATTAGAAATGTGACAGAAAACCCAATAAAAAATAATATATATTATTTATGAAATCCTAATCTAAAGTAGCGATTAGTGAAATATCAAAATTGATATTAACTATATAATACATATGTATGTGTATTATCAATATAACGTATAAAATATGATCCAGTTTAGAGATTCGCAAAGATATACGCAGGTACTTGGAAAGTCCACACTGTGTTTACACTGAGAGAAAAGTTCTATAGTTAAAATATTGTTCATTAGAAGGAATTTATTAAGAAGGAATTTCATTAGAAGGAATTTATTAAAGAATCTGAAATGTTATATGTAAATTGTTCATGGATCAACTAAATTTGGATCGAAAGATGTGTTTTTAAAATTATTATAAAAATAACTTAGCTAATGAATCGGAAAAAAAAAAGAAATTTCCAAAAAAGTTTTATAGTGTATTTAAAATTTAACAAATGGATTTTATTCTAATCTTAACTAATCTTTAAAACATACGATAAAGTTCATAATTTAAAGTTAATTTGATTAGAATTCTGTTCAATCTAAATATAAGTTTTTATTAAGAAATATTTAAGAATAATGTAAAATCCAATTTTATAAAAATAACACAAAATTTGATTTGTTTCGATAGCAAATGACCTCGCACATGTGAAATAATGTTAAAACCATTTATTATTTGTATGTTAAATGATAAAATAAATTAAATGCATATTGTTTATAATAATATTAATATTATTATTGAACACAAAACTTTATAAACAAATACTCGTACTTAAACTATTGAGAATCTATCGAAATGATAAGTTTTGAAGAGTTCTCAATTGCAAAGTGATTCACATTAATACCACCTAGCGTTTTATCTTCCAATAAAATCTATAAAAAGGTGTCCATTCCATGGAATTGATATTAATGTGAACTTGATATTGATTTGAAAAAATGCATTCTAACGTGATAGTTGTTGCAACGGCTGTTGTCTTGTTGGGTCTTGTGGATTACTCGTTGGCCAATAAGGCAAAGACTTGCTATTCCTGTGAGGGAATCAATTGTATGCGCACCTCAGTGACTACAACTAAAACATGTTCGGATCCATTGGATTATTGTGTTACCGTCTTTGACAAATGTAAGTTTAAATTGTGTTAAATAAGAAGCAAAATAATTTCACTCCCATTTGCCCCACTGTAGTCAATGTCATACAGAAAGGCTGTTCATATGAAGTGCCGGAATATTTACGTCAACGGTGTGATGCCAATACAGTGGAGTGTCACAAATGTAATTCAGATCGTTGCAATAATTTGGGCCAAGTACAGTTTGCCTGCATACAATGTGATTCCAGCAAGGTGAGATTGAATTCCAATTAAACTTACATTGTTTGCTAATATTTTGGAAACTCCCTCCCAAACAGGACAGTAACTGTGCTTCCTCTGCCTCTCAATTGACCGCTCAACGTTGTGGTTCTCCCACTGCTCCCAATTCTTATTGTTATGTTAAATACGAAAGCGGCACAACCAAACGTGGCTGCTCAACTACTGTAGCCGATCAGCTAGCCTGCTATGCCGATGCCAATTGTTCACTTTGTTTAGCCGGCGACATTAGTGGCTGTAATAGCGTAGATTTTACTCCCGGCACAAGAGCTAATCGTCTATAGATATTAATTGTATACCTGTATATTATCAATGAAATCAAAAAACAAATTTTGCACCCGTCTAGTCGTACGTCAATAGAATTGATTCAATAACATTTTGTGGACGTCTGACTGGCGTACTCGTTTAATAAAGAATAAACTAATAAACGATAAGTTTCATTTTGAAATTGGGATCATAAAAACATAATATTTAATATGTACAATGGGTATTGGTACTATTTTCAGAAAGCAATAAAAGATCATAAATAGCTAAATTTTAGTTAAGTTGGCTGTGAACGTCTTATAAGACCATGCACAGAGATTAGGCACCAAATAATATGCTAAAAAGCATATGTATATTAAGGGTGTAAAAATAGAATTTTGTATTCATTTGCTGAGAATTAATTGACAAGTCATGTCCTTTCGTCTGGTCCATAATAGTTGAACCTAGAGCCCACATGTGGCCTAAAACAAGTTTATCGTAAAAGAATCTGTTAGAATTTTCGGTATTTAGATATAATCCAAAATTAATTATTTGATAATTTGTTGATTAAGATTAATTATTGAAATGTTCTATAGACCTAAGACTCCATATAACGATTTCCTTTAAAAATACTTTTAACTCTATATCAAGTCATAAGATCGCTAAACAAATCATTGATAACTGAACTGTTTCCAGAACCATTCTATAGAACGTTACCTGAACCAGTATAAAGAACAGAACCAGGGGAATCATTCTAAACGACTACATGCCATAGACATTACAACTAATATTTGCCTAGATGTTTTCTATATTTAAAATTACATTTTTATTAAAGTGCCAATAGAAAATCATCAAATTTTTATTCTCTTTCCAAAATTTTAGCAAATAAATCTAAATCGATTATTATTTTTACAACAAGATCAAAACAAACCATGTTAACAATATTAAAACACTATAAATTGTTAAACGTTTACTACCCGATTCTGCATGATCAACTGATTCCCGATTACAGGCCATTTCACCGTCCGGTATACACATATCGCATGAGTTGTCCGCAAGGCATTTCAATTGTTCATTTGAATCAACTAAGCAACCACGTTCGATATTACCCGATGATTGGCGCGTATAACAGTAACTATTGGGGCTAGTTGAGATAGGACAACGAGTTGTTTCCAGATTTGTAGCGGCACTAGAACATTCTTTATTCTGAAAAAAATAAGCACATCATTAAAAATTTAGGGTAAAAACTTACTGTAATATAATTTACATTGGATGAAGAACATTGAAGACACGATATGGCTCCTCGATCATTGCATAGATTCTTATAGCATTTATGACACTCGGAATCAGATAAATTATCACATTTATTGCGATATTCTTCAGGCAATATTGAATAGCAACCTCTGGCCACTACAGTTACTGTAAAATTTTCAAAAAAAATTCAATAAATCAAAACAAAATATAATTAGCTAAAATATTTATCCTACATCCTTCAAAAACGGTTACACAATTATCCACAGGATCTACACAAGTTGCCTTATTCGCAATTTTTGAGGTCCTTAAACAATTAATGCCCTCACAACTGTAGCACTCTTTACTTTGCACACCCTTCAAATTTGCAACAAAAAGGGTTAATACAATTAGTTTTAAATAGGAATAAAACATTTTTATTAAATTATTTTAAAATTTATAATTATTTTTTTATTTAGTAAAAATTTTAAACTTGAAACCTATTCCATGTATCTGTAGGTGAATACTAAAATCTAAAGTTTTGTGCAATCGATTGATGAAAATGCAATTGAAAAATATGAATACATCAGAATAATTGTAAACAGTTTTATCTAGACACTCAATCTGAAAAACTAAAATACACTTGAAAATCACTGATAATAGAAGCAACTTCACTCTGTGAATACATGTCTTTCTTGTAAGCTGTTCAATTTTGTTTTTGCAACGATTAAATCATCTTGGGAACAGAAAATCACAATACTGGAAGATTTTTAAATATTATTTATTTTATTTAATTAATAAGTTTTGCCGCAAAAAAAAGACTTAAACAAATAACAAATGACGTGTTTTTATATAGGAAATTCATCTATTGTTTAAAAATTTTTAGAGAGCACTATAATTAAAATTTTGAATATGTTTTTGGCTGAACATATCAAATATTTAGAGTTAAAAATTAATAACCAGAGTAATCATTTTGTTTTCATTGAGATATGTCAGGAGTTTAGGATACTAGGATTAGAAATGATAGAAAACGGGAAATTAAGGAGTCCATTTAAAACTCCAAATACAAATCTGTTTGAATTCAACAAAAATGTTTATATACAAAATTGTCTAACAATTGACATTCCCTTTTGATATTTTGACATATCGATCTTTAATTGAGTATAGAATTCCTGTATCTTCTATTTTAAGTAAGATCGATCCTAGAAGAATACCCTAAATGTTCTTTTAGGAAACCGTTTTAGAACAACATATTCCTTTCTCTGTTTGACTAGTTAATTATTTGTTAGTTTGAAAGGAGGACGAATACACATACACATGTACATCAAATCCGAAGAAATACAAACAGTCCTTTACCGAGCCTGTTATGCACTCCTTTACCAGTGCCTCAGGTGGGAATCGAACCCTCGACCTCCGATCTACCATTCTAGAATACTAACCTACCATATTCTGTTCCGCACGATTCTGAGACGTTCTTCTATTTGAAGAAATACCGGGCTATCTAAGTATTCCATTCTGGAAAAAACTAAATGATGTTATTTATAATAATAATTTTTGTTCCCCTATTAACACTATTTTTCTATCCACTAGTGTTTAACAATTATTTAATTATTAGCTTCTTTTTTGTGTGTGTTTTTTTTTTTTTTCGAAAAAAAGTTTAAAATGTTGTAACCTGCAACTACTCAATTTCATGCCTGTGATTATGGTGCAAAATTCTTTTTTATATTCGTACCCACTCGCCGCTTCTTCTGTTCGTTCACATTCATTAATATTTACAGTTTAGTTCTTTTATGATTCGACAACACAACTACAACAACTCTTTACTGCTGCAAATTAGTATACAACAACAACTAACTACCAAAACCCAGCGGGTTTCAAGTGATCAATGGGCCCTTTTTGAAAATGATTCCAACAAACGTTTAATTAGACTGACTTCAGTCTTGAAATTATTTTAGTTATTTTCTGGTCAGATTAATTAATTTATACCTGAGACATACATATGTTATTTTGGACCAGCTATGGGACTTTCATCTAAGGCATAACTCCTTGCTAAATTGTCATAACCGTTATTTTGGATATGATGATATGATAAATACGGAACAATTCCCCCGAACTGCTGGGTACATACTTCAATACACACGTCTAATACAGTCATAATCACTGAGAATGTTGCTAACACACGATCGACAAATAGTTAATGAATGCACTTCAGATCATAGTTATAGGTAGATTCCATATAATATGTACACCAACAAAAAATGTTTAGTTTTTAACACTTGTACTTAAAGCCCTTTCCTTAAGCATTTTTAAATCCAAAATGACACTCATACTATCGCTCCTGGAGATACAGTGAAGCTCGTCTAATATATCAGATGTATATAGAATAATAGAATAATTTAACATTCAATGAGATACTTCTGAAAATTTGAACTTATAATTAAAATAAAAACAAACATAAATATAATCTGCAATTAAATATTAAATTCGTACAACTTTTCTTTTTCTTTTTTAGGGAGGTTTTCGCCTACAACTATTAGATCCACTTGATCGTCCTTTGGTAGATTTAACACCTCAAGTAAATGGTTCAGAGTTTGTGAGAACTGATGTAACGTGAGTTATATACTTTTTAAGATATATCTAGGAACTTAATCATTTATCTTTTTTTCAGAGCCCAATCATATCAAGTTACATTACCGAGTGACTTCGATTGTCAAAACTGTACATTGCGTTTATTGCGTCAAGCCGATGAATGGTCTAGCGGCTATCGGTTTTGGTCGTGTGCCGATGTTGATATTAAACAACGTAAGGCGTTTAAAGAATCATGTTCGGGTAATGGCAAATATTTCCCTTCACGCTGTAAATGTGAAAAGAATTTCTATGGACCACAGTGCCAATACAAAGATGAATGTTCTAACAATCAAGATTGTGGTATTCAGGGAAAATGTATAGATTTACAAGGAACATCGTTGCCGCGTAAACAATGTTATTGTAATTACGGTTGGTATGGTGCGGGTTGTAATAAAAGATCGCCATACAAAAATACAGATTTTGACTTGAGCGCCTATACAATGAAAGAATTGTCACCCGATTATAAAGTATACTGGCGCTTGTTGGAAGAACAAAAAGAAATTGAAGTTGTTTTAAAGGTTAATAGTACTACATGGGTTGGTTTTGGTTGGAGGCCACGAACATTGACAAAAGAATGCAAGAACTTCCCCCTAATTAAAGACATTGGCGATTTGACGACTGGTTTGCAGGGATCCGCATCTGCTGAGCCTGAACCTTCTTCTGAACCAGAACCAAAATCTGAACCCGAACCATCTTCGGAACCAGAACCAAAATCTGAACCAGAACCTAAATCTGACCCAGAACCAAAATCTGAACCAGAACCAAAATCTGAACCGGAACCAAAATCTGAGCCTGAACCCAAATCGGAACCAGAGCCTTCATCCGAACCAGAACCAAAATCAGAACCTGAGCCTACATCCGAACCAGAACCGAAATCCGAACCTGAGCCCACATCAAAATCAAAACGTGTTGCTGAAAATGAAAATCCCTTAGCAATGGATGGTGTGACATCAGTTGCCACAAGTGTTTCCTATCGAGTTAGTGCCTCCACTGGTCGAAGACGTCGGGATGTATCAGGTAATAATATATCACTTTATTCTTTATATTTGGTATAGGCTTCTTTACAGAACAAATACGAGTATTTGAGAACTAATAACTGATATGCACTACACTTTTTCCTTACAAAATACACAATACAATATAAATTTCCAATTTTTTCAACTAATATTAAATAGATACAACCGAATCTATTAATCATTCTGAACATGAGCCACAGTCAAATCCTGAGCCCAGTGCAGAACCCGAGCCAAAATCTGAGCCTGAACCTAAATCTGAACCAGAACCAAGCTCAGAACCTGAGCCAAAATCTGAACCTGAACCAAGTTCGGAACCAGAGCCAAAATCTGAACCTGAACCAAGCTCAGAACCCGAGCCAAAATCTGAACCTGAACCCAGTTCAGAACCAGAACCTAAATCTGAACCGGAACCAAAATCAGAACCAGAACCAAAGTCTGAGCCAGAACCAACATCCGAACCAGAGCCAAAGTCGGAACCCGAGCCAGAAGCCAGGTCGGAACCTGAACCAGAACCCAAATCGGAACCCGAACCCAAATCTGAACCCGAACCCAAATCGGAACCTGAGCCATCTTCTGAACCGGAACCATCATCTGAACCAGAACCTAAATCTGAACCAGAGCCAAAATCTGAGCCCGAGCCTAAATCTGAACCAGAACCCAAATCGGAACCAGAACCAAAATCAGCTAAGAAGACTGTTGCTCCTCAACCCACAGAGTCAGGTATACCTACTTTTTCATTCAGTTACTAACTATTCACAGTGTCTCACACTTTCATTACTTTTTTCCATACTATTTTCCATAACACGGAATTATAAAAAAATTACATCATCTATATCTTATTTATAGAAAACTTCATAATATCATTTTCCAATTTGTGCGTTTTTATAAAAATTCTATAATTTTACAGACTCTAAAAAATACAAATTAAATCCCTACACTCCCATTCATGATTTCAATCCCATGGATTGTACGGATATTGTTATTGGTTCTGCACGTGGTATGGCAAGTCGAGTTGGTGACTACTATACTCGTGATAGATCGACACCACGTCACGATGAATTCTACGGCGGTAAAAGTGATTTAACTCTCGCTACGGGCTTTGAAAAAGATGGCGTGACCACAATAATCTTTCGTAAGAAACTTGTCGCCACAGAACCAACAGATCACACTTTGGATGATGGTTTCACTCATGTTATTTGGGCTAAAGGTCAAGAATCTGGCAAATACGTTCATATCCCGGCATCTGGTATTGAAACTGAAATGTCTTCCGTAAAAGAATTCTACCAACCCGATGAGTTGAAATATCACGGTCATAAGATGCAACGCGGAGTTACACAAATAAATTTCTTCGGTAAGTTTCGTTTAACTGATGCTGAGTTACCGTATGGAATATTACAATTCAATTCATTTAATCATGAATGCAGTAATTCGATCTCAAATAGAGTAATTATAATAAATTTTTTATATTTATTTATTTAGAAAAAGAAAAAACGAAAAGTAGCGACAGCGATGATGACAGCAATATTTTGGATAACGACTGCTATGGTCATTGGAAATATCCCTCAAATTGTTCACCTCAAAATCAAACTTGCCAGTATTATGCCTCATGGGAGACTATCGGACGCGGCGATGATATGCGTTGGCATATTGAAACGACCAATACCCAAACATGGACTGGCATTGGTTTCAGTAACGATGAAAAAATGTCTCAAACTGATTCAATTATTGGTTGGGTAGATCGTAATGGACGTCCCTTCCTAATGGATACTTGGATTAATGGTTATTCGTCACCAAAATTGGACGATCGTCAAGATATTTTTGATGCTACGGGACGTATTGAAAAAGGTGTTACCACATTAGAGTTTAGCAGAAAACGTATTAGTAACGATGAGCAGGTGAGCCAAG